TTTGGGACTTATGCAATTGGCTCATCCCGGGGTTTGCACCAGCGGAGAGGTCGGCTTTCAGCTTGGCCATTTGTTCCGATTACCCCCCTCTCTCTCACCTGCTCATGCAAACTAGCAAGCTAGGTTTCTCATCCTATTTATCCGCGCAGTTTTCCTCAATTGCGTCAAATTCGCGAAGTTTTTTTTTTCGGCCTTCTCCCTAGCCGCAATGTCCTCGGAAAGCATTTCTTCGGGTTCTTGCATTTTGAGCTTTCGAGTGCTTTCCTTCATAACTGTGCTAGTAAATTCAACGAATTTCAGTATATACAATTATAAACACCGGGTGTGAAGTGTACAAGGGTCAGTTGAAAAGTTTTGTCGGTTAATCAAAATACGGTTCCTTATACGGTGCATCCTATTTTTCGAGTAAAACCCCACCATACCGGGATCAATGATGAACACTTGAAGGAAATTCCTGTTAACTTGCCCATTTTTATTTTTGTTCTGACCCCACTTTGGCATTGAAACTGTTTTGTAAAAAAAAATTAAAATATCACTTTTTAGAAGTTGAATTTTTCACCATTATCTATCGAAAGAGCCAACCGAGTGAGAGTGAAGAGGGTATATAAATAACGGCAAATTAGCCATCCCCGTTCTTCTGAAGAGAAACTTTTCGTCTATTTTGCCAACCCCAGAGAAAACTTGTAATTAATTTCAAATTCTTGTCAATCATGCATTCAAGTCGATCTAAAAAAAAGTTTTAAACTTTCTAGTTCTCTGCAGACTGGAGGCGGCAAAATACTCGTTGACCTACATATCAGACCGTTCGATTTTATTATTGCTTCAATTTCGGTGGCCCTTGAACTATGATTACGATTTATAAAAAAGTGAAAGTTACTCCAGCTAAATAGGAGCTTCGAGTAGCTAGGACATCAAGATTTTTTTTCAGTATGTGTTTTTGCTACTTGAACGAATTTGTCGACGAGTTTATCATTATTTGCGAACATCTCCAGACTGTCATCGCCTGGTGTACTGAAGAATCCGATGAGGGTTGGTTCATACTTTTGTCAGTTGTGCGCTTTTCGCGAAATTCATTTGGATGGATGAAGACGTGATTTTTGCATAGTCTATTTGATTAATTCGTGATGATTGTTCTAAGTTTCGCTCAACCTGACGGCTCTTCGTGCTTCGTGCATGACTTTTTAAAGAGTCTAACGGTCTAAACACCATCAAATATTCGAGATTATTGAAAATGTTTCTTAAGATTCCGTGAAATATGAAAACCATATTTCAATAAAAAAATGCCGATCTTCACAACTACTGCTTTAATGATTTTGAATGTTGAGCTCGTCCTAATTTTCAAATCGCGAGTACAACGTTTTTGAAGTTATGTGCTGAGGTTGAGAAATCCCTTTATAGTTCGAATTATTTTATTCCTGGAAATTACATGCCTTAAGAGTTAAGAATCTTAATTTCTAAACGAGGTTCAAAAATGAATTTTGAAACACTCCTGGTCGTTTTTAATACCGATCTTACCGCTGTGTAATGTTCCTCTCAAACTCGATTCTTTCACAATTTACCCTGTTCACAATTGTTTGAATTGACGCTCAACATATCCAGCTACACTATTATGCGACAATTGTCAATTGTAAATATCCGGCCATCAACACGAAGCAGTTGACGTCCAATGATCTGTAACGCACTTAAAGAGTCTCACGGGAAATGACTTCCACGAACGTTTTTCTCCCTCGAGAACACAAACGACGGGAAAATATACCTGGAGTCTCGATAAAGCTTAGATCCATTGTGAGTACATTACAGTAGTAATTTTAGAAGATGCAGCTACCCATTGTTCACAGCAAAAGAACATCCCTGCCTGACCATTGGAAAATTTCCGGTATCCAGCAGATGAACATTGTTGAAGTATTTCTTGGAATTAAATATGCGACGTTGGAATGGAAAGAACCGGGGGTTTGCCTTTTTCGAGTTGAAGGTTGTGTGTACATTAATTCGTCGCACATTGCTTCAAGACGCAACTTTTTCTTTTATCCATCAAAAGGAACCATTCTTGTTTCCGATGTTCTTATCCAGTGTGCATCCACGGCGGGAGCTTTGATGATGATGATGATAATGATGCTGATGATCATGATGATGATAAATCGCGGCATGACGATACGAGATGGATGAGCCACTGCGGACCAGAATTTCCGGAAAGCGTCGCTCCGCTGCAGTTGCTCTTACTTCGATAACGAAGAAAATCGGATAATAGTTTTCTTGTCTTATCGCTGAATCGAGGCTTCGTTTGCCGCGTCGCGACAAACGAGACAAAAAAATACTAACAATAATGAAACGAGGAATTCACCCGCGCGTGGTCTTACCGACATGGAATTTATTTTTGCCCGATTTCCTGTTGAAGATGGAAGTCTTGCAACTTTTCGAGCTGTCGTGCCGTTTTCGAAAGTTCGATTCAATTGAGAACTTTTGACGAAAAGAGCGGCGTCTTCATCGGAAGTTTGCTGATTGAATTCTCTGTTAATCTCGGAATTTTTGTCGGCTTTTGCTGCTGAAGTATCTTGCTGGCGATTTTTTGTTCCGGATGCCGTAATGACGTGGAACTCCAGATGCTGAAGGAAACTATAGCACAGTGGTTCTATGACCCGTGCCAGAATGATAATGAAAAGGAAACTACGTGGGTCAACTTTTTCGATACCCCGTAGCACTCAGAACGAGCATGGAAACTTCGAATGAAGCTGCGAACATGATGACAGAACTTCAGCAATCCAGCACTCCGACAATCCTGTCGTAAATGCTTTTATTATGCGCCGAAGTACTGTATTCAACCAAGTACACGAGAGAAATTCCTTAATATGAGTATACTTTATTCGTACATGACATTGTTTTTAGATGAAGCCGAACGAAAATTTCAAATCCTCGAAGCGTATTTTCTTGATGGGATTCGTTGAGTTTTCGTGAAAGGTTAATTTCTTGTTGAAAGGAAAGCTCGTAGCGCATTTTCTCTCTTTTAATCCGCGCAGGATGTTGGCGAATCAAGAATAATATTTGTAATTTTGAGTTTGTTGATCATTCCCGCTCATTTGGGAAAGCATTTAGAATTCAGGTGAAATGTGGTCCGTGCGATAGGAAACTTTTGTTCACCTTTGTTAGGATAATTTAGAATTAAATTGGAGTTGCAGCTTGTGCGAAAACAATTCGTTCTATGGAGCAGACTGTGTCGATTTCTAAGCGTGCAAGAGAAATGAGTTTTGCACTCCAGCAAGTGAACTATTCGCTGGAAGTGAAGCTCAAAGCTTCACTTCCACTTTTCTGCTACTTTTCTTCAAGCTGTTCTCCTGATATGATGTTTGATTTCTTGAATATCCGCACGATCAAGCCTATTTATTTAAAATGATCCAGAATCTAGATAAGTCAGAATATTTAGAGCTTGAAGCCTGAATTGCGAGAATAACGGTTTAAAAAAAAACACAAAAGTGGGCAAATTCAAGTTAGTGGCGGATATTGCGTAGTTCGCATTTCCGTAGAGTGCTATTCAAGATAAACTCAGATTTCGGAAAAACCCGAGTCATCAAGTGATTAGAATAGATGCTCAAATACTTCAGCTTTCTATTTTTTTCCGAATGTTGAGTTAAGATATCTCGAATCAATAGTTTCGAGTCGCATACATCGAGCCACAATCACGCCTATGTGATGAAAGTTTCATCCAGCGAAAATGCCGTCTTCTCTTGAGAAAATCTTCCCGGTTTTTGTGACGTTAAACTCTTGTTTTCATGACGGAGGCAAATTTCAAATTGAGTTGTGTGAACGATTTTTTGTGCGTAAATTTAATTTTTGCAGTTCGCCTGCCGTTTTCGGTTCTGGAATTTGAAACATTTTGATAATCATCCACCGAAACGCAGCCAATGAGTCTTAGAGGGAATCGAATTGCGTAATCGAAAGGAAAAGACGGAGAAGCGAGGATCTAAATGAGCCTTTACTTATTGTTTATTCTGCAAATGTAAGTACGGTATACCGTAGTTCGAAAACAAAAGGAAAGAGAATAATTTTCCTTCCTTGCGGATTTTTTCAAGTCGCTTTTGCGATGGAAACAACTTCAGATGCTTCATCACCACATTTCGTCATTTACTTGAGTTGATTCGTTCGTTCGAGGCATTTCATTTCTTCGTCCATCTTCAGGGAAGCGATTATAATATTTATATTTTTTAGACTGGAGGAGGAAAGAGCGAAGATTTTCGCATCGTGATAATAAATTGCCGGTCGGTTGCCCGTTTTTCACGCGTGCCATCCCTTACTAAAGGCAGAGGGTCGCAGGGATAAGAAGTGTAGGACATTCGCGGGATCGCGGGTATGCCTGATATGATGGGGTATTCTGTCAACGTGACGGGGGGAAGGAATTTTGATAAAAGGCTTTTGTGCATGAGCATGTGTGGGGATTCGCTGCCTATTTCGCGGTCCTATTCATTTTCATATGCCGTATTTACAAATCTCTGGGGAATAGCGACGGACAGCCTGTGGCCCGCGGGCTGAGCCGCATGTATCCCAAGGTTCTATATTTATTTTTGGGGTTACAGTATGTCGGAAGTTTCGCAGCGCGACTATTTATATCGTTGTAAACGCACCTTAATGTGACGATCTGCGTCGTGACTTGAACTTGTATGTACTTCAAAAGAAGCTAGCTATGCATTGGCTGGAAGAATTCAGAAGCTGATCACATAGGTCATAGGGTTTTAGATTTCTCACGGTGGATCCACAATTTTCCGGACCATGAACCATGCGCAAATTTCGAATAAAACCAAGGGAACAAAGCAGTCCGTGTAGTTAAGATTATATTCACTCCACTTCCCTCAAGTGGGTCGAATTTTAAATGGAAATCCGTTTAATATCAAATCTGCCTGAAAATCGTTTGTAAGCAATAGAGAAAATGTAATCAGATCGAACGATATGCAAGATGAGCATACAACTGCATATCACTGCCGGTGATAAGTTGACGAGAACGTTTCTAGGCGATGTGTTAGTTAATCTTCGAAATTTGCGAAAAGCTCTGTGATAATGTATTAAGTTAAGTCGTCGTTGAGTAAATGGTTCTCATTCTCCAGTAATTTTTCCCATTTTCAATTATTGACGATTTTCAGATCCGGAAATTTTCCTGGTTACTGAGCTTATTTTGTAAAGTGGTGTATTTAAATTTTTTAATTTGTGTTAGGCCTTTCACTCAAAATAAATGGGAGATTCCTTTAATTTTTGGCGGAAGATTTCATAAATAACTATTGGTCAGTCGTCGTTACTTCTACTACACTGCATAGGGATGCGCTACTCGCTCGCTTTTGGAATTCGAGTAGACCTAGTGTGATATAAGTGGTGGATTCACGGTATTCATTATTCTACTTTTTGGAAACGCAGTCGTATCACATCACGGCGAAAGCCTGTCGTCGAAGCGTAATCTCTCCTGTGGGATTACAGTACTGTATTTTGGTCTTTATGCGCATCCATGATAGTAGATATATTTTGTGACGAAAATTGTGTACTCGATCATGTTACCTTGAGTTAATTTCATGAATATTTTTCATTTATTTTTTTCAGGCTGTGGTGATTTGGAGGAACCTTATCCGAGTTTGTCTGACTATCATGACTACGAGCCGAACCTCGAATTCGACGATTCCGAAGTCATTCATGCCGCTGCTGCAGTGGCCATCGATGATCCGTTTGTCGGTAAGCCTGACTTTTCATATATTGAGATTTTCCTTAGCGTTGCGCTTTTTTTTTTTCGATTCACACAATCACGTTGTTATGAAAAACCTGCCATTCTCGGGATCGTGTTGAGATCACCCGATGTGAGGAGCATGATCTTCCGATCTTCGTTTTTTGTTGTTGCTGGAAATGTACCTAGCAACATTCGTTCCTAGCAACATTTTCGTCCGTACTCAGCAAGAAATTTTTTTCTCGCTGTTACGAAAATGCATTATACAGGTACGGTATATGTTCATGGGATTCGGTATTACAGTATTTTTTCCGCTTTTATCGCTGACGCCCCTTTTGATTAGATTAAGCTCTTGCTCTACTGCCTTTAGTCTACCTTTTAGATGTACAAACGGTGAAAGGTAGCGAGCTTAAAGTCACTTACGGAAGTTACAACAACCAACCAAAAAATACTTAAACTTCTGATGAAATAAATAAAAGATTTTCTTTTATAATCCAAGCGCGGGAAAGAATCGGATCGACGAATCAAATGACGAACGCCAGTTGGAAAACGCGTGCCACTTTTTTCAGTTTTTGTGCTTGCCATCATTCATTTCATCGCGTGAATTCGGGATCATTTGATCTTTCAATTCCTGGCAGGGGAAAAATAATGTAAACACCAAATGACGAGCATCATCGGTGAAAAGCCTGCTCTGTTCGTCCAATGCTGGGCCAACTCCGAGTCGTGATGAATGATACCACGCTTGTGACACTTGATCTATTCGTGACAAAAGACGGCGGAAAAACTTCTTTCGTTTAGAATTTTTTTTTTTCATCAGTGTTTTCGAGATTTCGGAGCTTTTATCGCGACTGTTGTTAAATGTATGCGACTTCTTCAAGATTATCGCGCCGAATTTCTCTTGCGAGAAGAAGACGACGGAGGATCTGCGCGTAGCGTGTGAGCGTCGACAAGTTTTTACGACTCGTGTTCGTGACTCAGAAGAAAATTTTCTTGTCGCGTTTCACCGTGGCTTATCTGTGCTCTGGATTGTTGAGCATCCGGTTCGGTTTCCAACTCATGTAAATCCAGTGCTGACTGGTCTGCGTGTGAGCGTACCGTTCCCTTATGAGTAAGCTTCGTCCGCGTGAGATATAGTCGAAACTCGTTTTCGAGACAAGGAAAGGCGAGAGATAGTCGTTGTTTGCACTCGAACAGCCCAGGAATACTCATTAAAGTCTCCCGTGTGTGCGACGCTTTCTGTCTTGAAATTCGTGCCGCCGGGGTTTGTTGTGTGTGGGACTGGTGTTGGTTTTCCGATGCCAGGCGACACCCGCAGCATTACTGTTACTTGACAGCTGCGTACGTGTTATGTGAGGAGCTTTCCGAAAGTTACGCTTCCCGTTTATTGTTGACTGGTAGAGTTTGATTCCTGTGGTGAAGTGTCGTGGGATACTTGCTGTGGGTTTGGAGTCGCTGGGAGAGGGGGGGTTTTGAGAATGGTGCATTATTTTCTCGCAATGAAAGTCCTTTTATTTTTAGGCTATTGGAAGTTTTAATTTATCTTGCAGTTGAAAAGGTTGAGCTCGTGGTCATGAAGATTTTCATCGCTTTTGCCTAAGAGCTTTCTTCCTTAAATGTGTTAATTTGCACTAATCCTATCGTTAGATAGAAGTGGCGATGCTGTACTGTCATTTCCGATTTTTTTCGAATCAGATGCGTCTATTTTTTTTTTCAATTTGTTGACGTCGAAGATCAAATCAGACTGGACCTGACTTATTCAAAACGTTGCTGAAATGTGATTTAGTTGAACCAGGAGGCACTTACAAATACTGCACTGTATGTCTTTTTTGTGTCGTTGAGTTTGGGAGGTTTTATATTTGGTTAGTTGTTCCGGGAAAGCATTCAAAAGATATGGAACAGTTGTTCTCCATCGACCAGCGGTTTATTGAAATACTGTAAAGTAGTTTGTCTGATAGCTGACCCGCCGAATCTAATACAGGTGTACTTCCTACAACGAAATTCTCTCGAACCATTTTAGGGTTCCTTGAATTCCGTTGTAGGAAATTTGTGTAAAATGGGGAAAGAATCTAAAAGAAAATTTGTTGTGCGGAATACTGTAAATTTTTGACAAGTTTATTTATGTAGGTTGAGTCCACCTGTTATCTAACCTTAGTTACAGTGATAAAAACTACGAACGAATCGGGCGACATCTATGCAGTATAACTTAAAACTTGGGACTTGTGCTTCACTGCTCGTCAAATGACGGGATATCATGAAACCCCCCCCCCCCCCCCCCTCTTCGTAAATTAAATCGGAGCGATGAAAAAAAAAATCCGTCAGAATTGATAGACGAATCAAACTAAACTTGCTTCTGGCTTTCTTTTTGTGCTTCAAGTATTTTCGCTATAGAAATTGGCCGTGATAAGCTTTGTTTGCGTGTGAATCCAACTGCGAATTTCAAGGGAGAACTGTTGGCCTTAGTCTTTAAATATTTACAAATCGCCCCGCGCGCGAGTGTCGAACTGTCGGAAGTTCGGTATACCTGTATCCAGGTGTGTTTCTCCCTGCGAACCGAATCGATAAGTTGCGTGCGTTGGCTTTTTCTTCTTTCTCCTGTCGACCCGGCCCCAAACCTGAGCCTTCGTAGCGCGTTTCACTCGGTTTTTTGGGAGTGCATTCGCCTTGTACGTCGGACGCCGCAGTGTGTCCGGTTGTGTTTCCAGCAATCATGATGAACAGTGAGTTGGTTGCTTTCTGAGGGAGCAATATATGCTAAATTATGAGTGTGGGATGTGTTGGGATTAGTGGTGGAGTCTCGATGCCATTCTGCGTGGCAGCGGAATGGCAGGAAGGTACTTATTTGGAAGACTTTCTGTGTTGTCAGTGCACCGTTTCTTTCGCATGAAAAAATCATTTTCCGACGGTGGATGCACAATTCGCGTGAAAGTCCGATCACGGTAACCTTGGCAATATTTTTGTTTTTTTTATCCTATTAATTTGTCTCGAAGAATCATAAATTACGCTACTTTAGTAATAACGTAAAACTGTCGTATGTAAGAATTTCTATTGAAAATAGAGGCACGAAAACGAACATGTATTCTTGGAGCACTGAGGTTGTTTTAATACCAGGTAATTACTTGAAAATTTCCGAATTTTGTTTGATTTCATCCTTACCCCGCGTTTTGGTTTGCTTCGAGAGCTTGATTTGAATTTTAATCTCATGTCGATTTTGAAGTCTAAATAATTGAATTTACGCCGACGGCTCTATCGGACCTGCTTCGCGCGATAGGAATGACTGAGTACTCTCCTGGACTAATGAGTACTGGACTATACGTACTGTACAGTGCAGTACGGTGCTCCGAACTTGTAGATTTTCCAACTAACAGAAGAGATGGCCCTACGTCACGAATGCTTCACTCAAGCATTTGTTTTTTCTTATCACATCCACTGTAGATCTGTAGTACAGTATAGAGCTGTAGACCACATTTTTTCCAGAAGATAAAATGAGAAAATACTGTGGAAAACTTGGCGCGGCCTATTCATTACTTGATGATTTAGAGATTTTGCACCATCAAGAACAATGCTTCAATTTTACAATGCTTGTAATATTCATGCTGTAAATACTGGAAGCAAAGTAAATTGTAAAGTCTCAATTCCATTCTTCTATAAATCAATAATATTGTTGATAAGTCAAAATACTACGGTTGACTTTTTTTAAAACACATTCTTGGCATTTCAACCAAGTTTTGATTTGAATGAGCCTCATATTTTTTTGAAAATGTTCCTATTGTTCTCGGCGCACTCCGTTTTTCTCTGCCCAAAACCGCTGACCTTTCGCATTCGTTTATTGATTCGATCTCTAATGATTATACCGTGTCATATTTTTCAAGCGTAAAATGAGTTCATGTCATGTATCCAATCTCTGCTATATAACGGGAAACGTGATCGATGTTTCCAGCGAAATCTATCGGCTTTCTGTCACAAGCATAGCTATTAGAAGTGACTGGTCTTTTATTTGCGGATTTATTGCATTTTTCGTGGAAGTTCTGGGCTAACTTACGTCACACTCGGATGCTTAAAAAAAATGAAAGAATTCTTCGTATGATCTAGGATTTCGACCCTGAAAGTCGTGGTTCATTCCGTTGGAATTGGCAGTCAGTCTTCCTGAACCTCGTACGAGCCTTCACACGCACCTTGCTGACCAGTTTCTTCGGCTTGACCTCTAATTAGCTTGGAATTGACCTTAAATTTAAAATCCGGAACCAGAAGGAATGTATCATCCTTTCTTGAAGTAATTTCCTATCAAAGGTAGAAAATTCCTTGAGGGAGTGTACCATGTAGGATTTCATGCAAGATTTCAACCACAAAAAAATCCCGATTATTTGTCCATCTTGAACTTTGTTCGGGTTTCAGGATTATTCGCAGCATTGCACTGATTACCCCGCCTCTCATAACCTAGACCATTTCAAAAAGTTTGTTATTTGAGCTGTTATTCCTCAATCGCCTGAAATGATTCCCTTTTTTCTCTCTCTTTCTCTTGAATCAGTGGAGGAAAATCACGAGTGCCAGACAGAGTACGCCGAGACCCCGGTGTCAGATGGGACGATCGAAGAAAACTTCGAAGAAGAATTGGGAGCCCTTCACAGCATAGCCTTCACTGAGGATGGGAAAGTCGTTCCGAGGTCATCATTACAGAATGCCGATGACGGCGGAAAGACGGATGCTGCAAACGAAGACTTCTCAGACATCGCTCGCTACGGGATCGTCGAGGTTGTCGGCGACGATACTTACGGACGGAAGGTCATTGTTGTGTCTGCCTGCAAGCTTCCATCTAAGAAGCTACTGGATCACAATAGATTTTTGCGGTACGATCGATTTACGCGAGTCTGGAAAAATTTTCCAACGGTAGAAAGTTCCCCCGTGTTGCCTATATATATATATATTTTTTTTTTTTACAAGAAACCGGATATGATGGGTTTTTTGAAAGTCCTGAGAGTCGTGAACAAAGTATCACCAGAGGTGGATGAAATCCAGTGGTTCATGTTCAGCCACTTGTTGGGATATCATTTTTTGTAGTTCCGCTGCTTGCATGAATTTTTTGTAGTAGCTCTTGCATTGAGATGAAAATTGTGAAAAAAGTTTGGATCCCGTTAATTTGATGTGATGTTGAGCGCTAATTATTGGTAGGTCTGATGTTGAGTTAGTTGGGTTGGATCACGCAATGAGCCGGAGTAAACAACCAGAAAAGCTCGCTGTCGATGAGTGGAAAAAATGTAATTCCTTTACTATCGAATGAGACTTCATCGGAAAAAACTTTGAGAACCTCTGAGTTCAAATTCATGGTGACATTGGGCAAAACATTTTTTTCTACCATATTTTTCTTTTTGAGGGTACCTCAACTTCGCTTGTCGTTTTTCCGAGATCTTGATGCAAATGCGGCCGTAGGGGTGTCAGTCAAGGTTTTCAATAGTTTCATTTCTATCCAATAAATTTCATAATGTTGAAAATTGCCGGTAGTTATTCTTCTCGAAAAATTTTGAAAGCAATAAAAGAAAAAAAAACTTTGTCCCTGATAAATTAATCTGTTTTCCACTTTGTTTTTGTTGCTGAAAGACCACCCATTCAAGTCCAATTAGATGAAAATAAACGCCCTTTTCCTCCAACGGCTTCCTGTCACACGTTTGGTTCTCTTATTACGTTATCACCCGAGTCTTATTTGATGTGATGTTGAGCGCTAATTATTGGTAGGTCTGATGTTGAGTTAGTTGGGTTGGATCACGCAATGAGCCGGAGTAAACAACCAGAAAAGCTCGCTGTCGATGAGTGGAAAAAATGTAATTCTTTTACTATCGAATGAAACTTAATCGGAAAAAACTTTGAGAACCTCTGAGTTCAAATTCATGGTGACATTGGGCAAAACATTTTTTCTACCATATTTTTCTTTTTAGGGTGCCTCAACTTCGCTTGTCATTTTTCCAAGATCTTGATGCAAATGCGGCCTTAGGGGTGTCAGTCAAGGTTTTCAATAGTTTCATTTCTATCCAATGAATTTCATAATGTTGAAAATTGCCGGTAGTTATTCTTCTCGAAAAATTTTGAAAGCAGAAAAATAAAAAAACTTTGTCCCTGACAAATTAAATTGTTTCCACTTTGTTTTTGTTGCTGAAAGACCACCCATTCAAGTCCAATTAGATGAAAATAAACGCCCTTTTCCTCCAACGGCTTCCTGTCACACGTTTGGTTCTCTTATTACGTTATCACCCGAGTCTNGATAAATTAATCTGTTTTCCACTTTGTTTTTGTTGCTGAAAGACCACCCATTCAAGTCCAATTAGATGAAAATAAACGCCCTTTTCCTCCAACGGCTTCCTGTCACACGTTTGGTTCTCTTATTACGTTATCACCCGAGTCTGAGAATGGGGTATGTTTTTTTTATTATTGAAAAATCATGTCAACTCAAGTTATTGAAAATAGTTTTGTTTTGTTGGAATTAAATTTCAGTTTGTAGAAAGTTTGCGGAATCCGTAAGAAGCCCATCGTTCGTCAAAAGCTGGTGAATTCTTTGTTCACGTTTCTCATGAGTTACTTCAAAACGCGCGGACTTTTCTAGTTGCTCTTTTGCAGAGTTTTATTTTTTTATTTTTCAAAGCTGCCGATTTTAAAGCGAAAAATATTTACAGGTACTTGATGCACACGCTGGATATGTTCGTAGAAGAGGATTATTCTCTGGTTTATTTCCACAACGGGCTCAACTCCACGAACAAACCACCGTTGACGTGGCTGTGGCAAGCTTACCGGGCCTTTGACAGGAAATACAAGAAAAATTTGAAAGCTTTGTATCTAGTCCATCCTACAAATTTCATTCGCATCGTCTGGAATGTCTTCAAGCCAGCGATCAGGTACTTTTTGTGTAGTATTTCGCTGTATGGAGCTTATTTAAACGAGAAAACGTTCGATTCCTCGTTTTAGTGCCAAGTTCGGGCGCAAGATGATGTATGTCAACTATTTGTACGAGTTGAAGCAACATTTGCACCTTGATCAGATTTCCATTCCTGCTCCTGTGATTGAGTGAGTATTTGGACCATTCCCGTTCGATTTTTCTCCCGAGACGAAGTGGTAGGTAATGAGGGCATTGAATGTTCTTGAACCAGATTTTTTTTTAATGTCGTATCGATGGAAATACCATGAGAAAAATGTGGTGGCCGATAGGAATTAGGGAAGAAGAAAATGGGAAATGAAAATTATTGATTGCAATATTCAGTGGAAGCTGAAATATAGTTGGAAGCGGATTTTCGAAGCTTGAGAAATTTCGGATATCGTATTTCTCCCAGTAATTCGCGACTTTAATTTACCGTTAATCCTCTTTATAATTTTCCTCTGACTCTAACTCAGGCCCTCAGATTTAAGTTCGAAGATAATGTTGAGGCTATGGTTTTCTTCCGCGGTGAACTTCCTTTTAGTCAGTAATATCTATTTTTACTGTTCTCCCGAAAATCTTCTGTGTTTCGTGATTCAAGTACGTTTTTTGATGCTACAGACATGATCAGAAGCTTATGTCCAAGCTTTCAGCTTCTGCGGGTACTCGGCTGGTTACGTCCAACAGCGTCACATTCCCTGTGCTGGAAACGCAGCAGTTCGGAGTCACTCTGGAGTACATTCGTGAACACAATGGAGGGAATCCGATCCCTCCTTTGGTTTCTAAAATAATCTCCTTCCTGTCGCAGGCGGACGGTGAGTTTTCTCTGCTAGTTAAAGGAAACGGAGAGGATTTTTTAGTTTCGGGTCAAGTAAGATGCTTGTTCAGGGGGTGAAGCCCCGAAATGAATGTGAAAAGTTTGACGCTCGTTCCTCCTTTGAATGAATTATAAAATGCCTTAATCCGTGTTGCAGCGTCCTCAAATTTTTAAAATAACTTTTCCTTGGAAAAATTTCACAGCAATTTCATTTCTCAAAACCAAAGCGTTGATCAAACAATTAAATGTTATTACTTTTTCACTTTTGCAGTAATAAATCAGCCATAAATAACAGAATTTTCAATGAGGATGTCATTCCAAATTTCTGTGGATAATTGCATAGCTTTGATGTCTCATTTCTTTCAACTCTCCACACCCGGGCTCCCTATTATGGATTATTAAGAAGTTTTGGTTGTTGACATCAATGCGATACCTCTTGACATACGCATGACTGAATCCACTGTTCTTGATTTTCTACAATTTTCTGCGATTTCTGATCTAAACCTTTATCAGGGATCAATGGTTCGCAAATGGCATAAGTTTCAGAAAAAGTGTAATTTTTGTGGAAGAAATGGCCGAAATTGGCATCTCAGGAATGCTTGAAAGTTTGACTGCAGAGAGCTTAGAAACTTCTTTAGATTGATCAAAAAAATGTCAAAAGAGCGTGGGGAAAGAAATCGAGCTAAAAAGAAAATCAAGAAACAGCTTTGAATTTTTTTAGGGGAATCGTGCACCTGTCCTACATACTAACGTGACCGGTGCATAAAAGAGCATTTTTCTTTCCTGCTTTGTTACAGCATTGGAAACGGAAGGAGTTTTTCGAAGATCCGCATCTCCATCGTTGATGAAGGAAATTCAGGATAAGTTGAACCGAGGCGAAGATTTCGAATTTACTGATGTTCACGTAGCCGCGGTGATCTTGAAAAAGTTTTTGCGCGAGCTTCGAGAACCCTTGATGACATTCGAGCTTTTTCCCGACATCGTTGATTTTCATGGTAAGTCTTATTTGATGTGCGCCTCGAATGCTAGTTTTCATTCAACTTGTGTTCTATTCCAGCTCTACCTCGGGATGAAAGACTGGATAAGGTGAAAGAAATCATTTTAAACAAACTTCCAGAGGGCAATTACCTTGTGCTCAAATACATCGTGCAGTTTCTCGTGAAGGTGAGTGAGTTTGTCTTCGCGTGATGTGTCGCGTTTTCAATGATTCCATGTTCTTCAGTTCTGAAAATCGGTTATGCTTATTTACAGGTGATGGATTTCAGTGACCTCAACAAGATGACTGCCAGCAACCTAGCCGTGGTGTTCGGGCCGAATCTGGTTTGGTCATCGAACGAGCAGATGTCGCTGCATAGCATTAGCCCTATCGTATCCTTCTTCGATTTCGTTCTGACAAACCACGACGAAATCTTCATTGTATGAATCCTGAGTAAACTATTGTGCGCCGAACCATACCGAATCCAAGAGGAAATGTTTTTTCCTTGGTTTGCTAGTCTTGACTTTGTCAGAGGAGCAGAGATTTTTTTTTCTATAATCGAGGTCAGTTCATGCGAGAATGAGTGAAATTTTTGTTCATCCCATTTCGCGGTTATGAACCTAGAGACCGTTTTGTTTTACTTTATTTTGTAGCCGGTGGCGAAAGAAACAAATGTTCGATAATCGATCGTTCCCAGGCACACGTGTCCCAGGGAAATTTGTGATAATTTAATTACGAATATTTGAGCAGCGTGGAGTGGATGAAGGAAAAAAAAAGAAAAGGAGACGGGGTGGGGGCATAGAACGAGATGACTTTGTTCGATGCTCTTGTGTTTCGTGTCTGGTCGAAGTTGTGGTGTCGAGATCGAGTCTTCAGTTCGTCAATAGGACTTTCTATGTCCGCGGATGAAAATCGCATGATAGGAGGTTTTTTTTAAGAAGCTTAAAAACCAAAATAAAAAAATTTACGAAGGTGACTTTCTAGACTCTCTCCAAAAGGAGAAGTAAAAAAGAAAGAAAAAACGAAGTTCTTTGTTAGTGTGCCACAGTCAACTACAAACAGGCCAACACTTTTGGATCGTGTATTGCGTTTCCCTAATCTCCGCGATTGAGAGATGAACGGATGACTTTGGACGAATATACTCATCGACGATTGATCCTCCTTTGCGTAATTATATGGTTTTTTCCGAATGAATTGCTGATGCGTCTTCCGGTGCGATTAAAAACTCACGTGAGGAATTTTGTAAGATACGTTGTGAAGGACTTTCAAAAATGTGAAGAGCTTTGATCTTCCATCAGCAGATGCTCTAATGACAAAATTAGAAATTGTTCGGGATATTAGCTGAAGAATTTCAATGTTTAGGCTAGGAGAAGTGCATCTTCACTTATGAATTGCTGAATTCTGAAGAAAGATTGATGTTGAACGAATTCAATGTTCATTCTACCACTAATGCGTGCAAGAAAATATTGTTATAACAAACTGTTGGAGACTTCAAAAACGTTTTTTAAACTGAATTATTCATTAAAGCAACATTTTCAAAATTAAGGCCTGTAAAAAATATAAGCATCAGACCTGCCTATGATCAATAGGTTTTGATTTTCTGGTATTCTAAGATTTTTATTAATGTATTTGAAAAGCTGCATGATCTTTCAAAGAAAAAAATTAGCTTCAGTCATGCATTCCATCAATTACACCTATCTCTTTGTTCTTGGAGGATGATGTGTGGAACCACTTGGTATCATATTTTTAAGCAAAGCTTCCATCCTTGCTACAAGAACCAAACAGTTTCTGCATTCAATCACATTTGGGATAGAAAATTTCTTACTGTGCCTGATGCCTTTCCACCTGGAGAATCTATTAAACATTCCTCCAAAAACTTAGTTTTCCTTGAATCTGGAAGTTTGTCATGATGAGATTGTTTTAACATGTTCTTGATGGGCTTACTGCCAGGACTTGAGAAAAAGTTTGTATGTACTAGAAATTTTGTTGTCACAAGATTATACTGTACACTAATTTTTCCAATGGATATTCTTTCTCAAGTTGTGTATATTACTCCATAGTTTTTGTGAGGTCATGCAGTTCTTCTGTATTTTCTGAAACACTTTTTTTTAACAAGATTTTACCAAGTACTGCCTCTGGTATTTGATTTAGTTGGTTGATTACAGGTAGCTGGAAGTCTGTCTTCATGTGAGAGCGGAAAAACTCGAGCCTTGGGGACACGAAACACCTCGCAGAGGATGAGCGAGCTGCAGCAGGAACACAAGCAGATGCAGCAGCGGCAACCCGGGTCTCATCCCGTTGCCTTCCCTTTCCATGCAGCGGAGAGACGGGTTTTCCTCCTGCATTCCTCGCCCGGTGTGCCGTGTCCTTGTGTTGCCCACCGTTGCACCTCGCGAGAGAGTCGTCTTCCGGACGAGTCTGAATACGAATAATGCCCTCACCTTCCTCTCCCGAGAGCTGGTGTTCCTGCCAGAGAAGAAAAAAAAAACAGCAAGAAAAGGAAAAGGGTGGAAGAGTCGCCGATGCTGGCTGATAGTGTATTTTCGGTGAGATACTTGATGAAAAGAATGTCTGCGGATCAAGCCTCGTAAATGCCACTTGCTAGACAGACGGACGGACTGCGAGGGAACGTTATTATGAAGACCCTTGATGCTTACTACTGTACTTACTTATGTAGATTTTTCAGCACCAGGATGCGTTTCTGAAATCATAAACGCGTCCATCAGTTGATCCACTTGGATCAGTTTCTGCGGGAGATCCATCATTCGAGTTATACTGTTCAAGTAATTCACAGCTTTTTAAACAGTAGATCTATTAGCTACTTATGATTAGTTTCAGGCCTCTATAAGCTGTTAACTTGAAATAATTCTTTCGAAATTTCGTGGATATATTCACGAGATAATCAATGTTCAGCATTAAATATTGGGAAACAATTGCATAAGCTAAAAAAAAACTATGAGAAAGAATATCAATTGGAAAATCGTACAGTATCGTATACAGTAAAATCTTGACAACAAATACCATTGCATCAAATTATTTGGTATAACAAACTTTTTTTCAAGTCCTAGCAGAAAGTGCATGAAGTACATATATTTTTGTCAAACTTTTGAATGAATGTCAAAAGTATAGAACAATCAAGACATCTCCTCAGTTCTTATATCTAATACTTTACCCTTGTATTGTATATATTATCCTAGGTGAGACACTTTCATCCAGTGAGGAGATTTCTTATCCATATTGCTGGAATAAATCAGTAAAGACTCCTCAAGATTCTTTAAAAGAAAGTGTTTTATTCTGTATTTCACCAGAACAGGCAACAACGTACAGTATATCAATGTATTCAGACAATTTCCAGAGATCAATGAGCATGCATACAATGGAGAACAGGTATTCTTATAGAATTCAATGTTGCTTTCAACAAACTTCCCAATTGCAATGCAACAAACATTTTTTGAGGATTGTTCAATAGATTCTCCAGGTAGAAATTTCCAGGCAGGCACAGTCTGAAATGTCTTATCCGAAATGTGAAAAGGGGAAATGTATATACAGATGGATTCTCTCTACAATAATATTGTCTGCAATGATTTTTTCGGAATAATAATATTTAATTTTTGTTTCATAGGGTTCTTTCCCCATGTTATAGGGGTTCTCCACAGAAAAGTCTTCACTCTTCCCTTGAATTTTATTGCAGAAGAAGTCCGCTTGTATCCTGTTTTGTACATGAATGCATGGATAGATTCTGTACCCAATAATCATCATAAGAGCGTTATCTTACATCGATGGTTGCCTGTATCTTGAAATTTTCTTGAAATTATACCATCATCATTTGAGTCGTGTTTTTGTTCACATTTCTTATTTTCGCAAGCGGTCAGCAAAAGATGCCTTCCAGGCTTACACGATTCCGTGCTTTGTTAAAATGCATTGTTGCTTAATTTATCTTGATCAAATGCATGAATTCCTTTGTCCAGTCCATCTCGAATGCCTCCCCCCTTTTTTATGCGACAATCATATACTGTATATGCGAAAAGCAAGCACAGTAAGACCGCTTCACCTGTCCATTTATGCCGCTGAAGGTTGCATCCCAGCAGCACCATTTTCTCCAACGTTTCCCCGACTCCCCCCGAAGCTCTTGGCTTGCGGCAAGGAAACGCGTCCCTCACAAACAGCTCATGTGTAGTGGCGAAAGATGAACGAGATTTTCCTGCCGGATGCAGTAAATCGCTGCGAGAAAGCGGAGCACACGTTCCAGCTGCAACTGTTCGCGGTAATTGAAGCAACGCGTTTCCCCCCTGTATGCCGGCACAGGGGCTGCAGATTTTGATGGGCAGGTATATTACAAGTACTGTACTCCCATATGAGGGGTCTAAAAAAAGTTATCGGAATAGAAATTGAAATGGCAAATAATCGAGCTAAAAAAAAATTATTCTTCAGGGAAAACTTATTTTTGGCTAAAAAAAATCAGCCCTGCTTGACAAATTTTTCTGAATGTTTTGCAATATTCACCCTGGCGGAGTTTTGCTCTCCACTCAAAAAATGAGGCGTCCTTCCCGCAGATTTTGTTTCCCCTCAGAATTGAAATCAACGTGGAATAATCAACGGCCGCCTTCACAGCCGCCAATGTGGCGGCTTTGAAGGCGGCTGTTGTTGAAAATGGTGGAATTGACTTGGAAGATTTGAAGGCAACCCTTGGAAATAATGTACGTTGATTAGTCCACGTTGATTTCAAGAATTCTGAGGGGAAAGCTGGGCTACAACAACAACATCTACAGGAAGGACGCCTCATCGTTTGAGTGGAGAGCAAAACTCTGCCAGGGTGAATTTTGCAAAACATTCAAAAAAATTTGCCGAACAGGGCTCATTTTTTGTACCAAACAATATGTTTTCACGAAAGAATAATTTTGTTCAGCTCGATTATATGCCATTTTAATTTTTATTCCGACAAATTGTGATAGAACCCTCGTGTATAGTTACTTGCAGTACGTTCGAGCTCTTCTTATCTTCACGACAGTGTTATCCCCCCCTAGCTCCCTGGCCTGTGGAACTTGGAAAGGATTGTGAGTCGAGTGTATGATTATTCACAATAAGACTTTATTATCATACACTGGTTTTTTGTACAAGACAAGACTAAAAAAAAAAAAAAAAAAAAAAAAAAAAAAAAAAAAAAAGTAAGGAGAGAAAAATTAATTGACGTAGTGTCTGCTTTGTCGGACGAGGGACGAATGCCACTTTTTTTTTGTACCGGTGATATACAGTACTTCGGTGATGGGCGCACACTATAGAAGCGCGTACACAATTCTATCATAGCAGACAAATTATTTTAGACAGTCTGAGCTTTTGCTAAGGAATCCCATTAGTCCAGCCCGGTGTTCCCCCAATCCGTGGACCAGCGCCGGTCTGCAGAAGTTTTTTACCGGTCCACAGAAAATTTTCTGCAAAATAATAAATTTATAAAAACTGATAAATCAATGAAGTCTGTTATCTTCATCTGAAATTTTGGAGAAACAATGGCATTTGACCTCGTGCAATGAAAAATTGAAGTTGGCTTTTCTTCTAAACCTCAGACAAAAACTCCTAAATCTCAGACAAATTTTCACCTGATGAAATAATTTATTTTACTTTTTTATTCTGGGAAACCTTTCTTCAAGCACACCTTTCTAATTTGTTAGAAGACATTCAACTATAGCTGCTTCATTGGTTCATAATTTATTTGTAGCAAGAAAGCAGTACATTTTGTCAAATACACACCATGAAGTCTTCCAAGCGAAGTTTCTTCGAGTCTGCAAAAATGTTATGAAACTTTGCCAGTCCACAGCAAATTTTGCGGAAATTTTCCAATCCGCGAAACTTTGTTTGTAAATCAAACCAAAGATGTTGGGGAACACTGGTCTAGCCTTCTGAGGTTTATGATAAATATCAGAGAAGCTGTGAATATTTAAATTCGTTTACGAGGAATTCCTAAATTGTTACCATGACAAAACGAAGACACGACGAAAAAAATCTGATAATGAAGTTACAGCAGTAAATCGAATGATGGACGAATTTAAGCGCCAGAATTTTCTAAAATAAGTTCTTTTCACATGAAGAACTGCTGTCAGCACAGCTTTCGATGAAAATATAGCAGATTTTAGCATATGCTACAAAATATCTTGAGGAGGAAGCCACCCGAGGCATAATCACGCAGCTTGGCCGGGATCGGAGTATCATTCAAGAAATTTGCGAAGGAAGTTGACTCATACCAATAAAAAGCTGGCATGCGAAATTTCTGGGGTACAGTACAGTATATTCAACCAGAAATCCTGCATCC